AAAAAAAAAAAAAGAAAGTGGTTAAAATCATAGACACTGTAGTTAAATTGGTTTTAATTTTAGCCCTACTGTATGACCTTAAGGTAAACTAAGTGCTCAGAGTCTGAGTTTTGAGATAATAATAGAAACTGACTTATTGTTATAAGAATGATACATAAAATCATAATGATACATAAAAATCATTAATGTAGTGTCTAGAAAATTCTACTGCCTAATAAATGTTAGCTGTCACTATTGTTACTATTATTATTTACAAAGTATCTCAGAATTTGTTCCTAGATACCCCATCATTCTTCCCAGTCCCTCAAAAGGTAATGACTTGATTTCATAGCAGGGCCTCTTTATATCTTAGGAGAGCCTTGATACTTAACCATGAACACACTGTGATTCTAAACAAAGGCATGAAACAGTCTGAGCCCTCTGCATTCAAGAAATGGGCTGCTCCTCATCAAGTTTGTAAAATGCACTTTATTCATTAAGTCATTTGTGTTTATGTATGAATAATTCTTCTATAGTTATTTTAGAAGTTAGGAAAATATTTAAAATACTTTAAATGTACTTTAAATAAAATAACACAAACATATTTGCTTATGTCTTTTAATGAAATCATGGACCTTAACCTTTAGATTTTTTTTTTCATTAAAGCAAATCAAAACCAAAAACTTGCTAACATGCTCTCTCAAGGGGGCTGGAATAAGATTTCCAGAATGCCTAAGCATTGACAGTTTTATGTAATTCAGGCTAAAAATAATACTAGATAATAAAAAAAGTGTAAGGAAGTCCAACAAAGTTATGATTTTTCCTGTCATAGCTAACTTTCAAAAAAAATTTTTTTGTGACCTATCTTTACTGGTGCTATCAGGTTAATAGTCTGATGTGTCAGTTTGATACTGTCAAACTGTTTATTACCAAGATCTTTCCAAGTTACCAGGATCTTACCATCTTACCACAATACTGTGTGTGTTTATCTTATTGATTGACATATTGGCATGGTTGTATTGTTATTTGTTTTGTCCATGTTAACCCAGACATGGCCTGTGGAGAAGACATTCTTTGGCATTGGGCAGAGAGGTTTTTTGTATCTTCTCTAGCAATACATGGACATGCTTCTATTATTGGTGAATTTGGCTAGTTAGAAAAGAGAGAGAGTGGAGAGCCTTCTCACCACTAGTGGCCTATATTTATATAACTTCCTTATACAAATCCTGAAGCTGGCTCCCCATAGAGACAGTATATATGGGGCTAAACTGAGATGTACTTCAATCAACAGATTACCCCCATCTAGAAAAAGTAACAGCCAAACACATACAACAACGATTTTCAGCATCTAATGTAGTATATCAGATAAAATAATATGCATTTGTTTGTATCAAAATAAAAAGCTAACAATGGTGGTACATACCTGTAGTCCTAGGTACTGTGTTTCCCCGAAAATAAGACCTACCCAAAAAATAAGCCCTAGCAGGATTTCTATGCATTTGTTAAGTATAAGCCCTACCCTGATAATAAGACCTAGTGATGGGCGTGGCTATACATTTCAGCACGCAGTGGTAAGGAAGACTGGAATACCTTTTATCTGTCACAGCTCCTTTCTCCCAGCCGTTCGCACTTGTGGGGGTGGGGATGGGGGTGGGTGGGTACCGCATCACTCCTTTCTCCTAGCCATTGGCGCGTGTGCATGTGGTAACTGCAGTTGCAGGTTGCGGGCATCCTGTTGCGCACGTGTGAACAGTTAGGAACGAGTTCATGGGTCACTAGCGCCAGCCCCACCAACAAGGTCAGCTCCCCCTGTCAGGTTCCCACCATCCTGTGCACGCTGAGGCTTCAGGTGGAGATGGAGACATAGAAACTGGAAGTCTCCACAGTGAAAGTCTCCTTAGTAAAATGAGGAGCAGGACGCTCTGTTTTTTTACCATACTGTGTGTCCCCAGGGGGGAGAAGGAAAGCTGTGGCTGCTATTTTACCCAGCACCAGTCCAGCAACAGTCTGTGGGCCTCTCTCTCCCATACACCCCACAAACACCAGGGGATAGGAGAAAAGCTTCAGTAAGCAGTCTGCTACTGAGCCCAGAGAGATCATCCCAGCTCCACTGTGCAGATTGGACCCAGTGCTCGCTGGATCCCAAGTACGGTAAATAATTCAGCCCTTACACGTCAGCTTTGCTGGCCTATCTCTGCTTTTCCTGAGTATTTATACCCCCAGACAAGATGAGTGCAAAAAGAAAGAGCTATTCTGTTGAGTACAAGAAAGGAATTGTCAAGAACTCCCAGGGCAAGAGTCTTACAGCTTTCCACAAAGAGAAGAAGTTGGATATCCAAATGGACGGGCAGAATACGATAACCCCAGTCTACATGTGGACAGAGGAAGTGCTAAGAAGCGCAAGTGTGGTTCAGGTCGGCAACCTTTATTTCCTGAGCTGGAAAACATAATCTGTGAATAGATTGCTGACAAGAGAGCAAAGGCTTTGGTTGTGCACAGGGGTGACATTCAAGCATTTGCCTTTCCAATGACACCACAGTTTGAAACATCCCCAGAATTCAAAGCATCACAACACTGGCTGGATGGCTTCCTTTAGCGATATGAACTGTCTCTAAGAAAATCCACAACACTGCCTAAGTTGGAAAATGCAGAAGTTATTAAGTGAGCACTGGCATTCAAGTCCTTGGTTGATGGCATCGACTTTTCTAAACACCAGCCTTGCAACATGATTGCTGTGGATGAAACTGCAGTGTTTATGGGTCAAGGAGCCCAAACAACAATTGAACAGAGTGGTGCCTCCTCAATCAGCGTTCCCTCCACTGGTCATGGAAGTTCACGTGTTACCTGTATTTTGGCCATTCGTCTGGATGGAAAGAAAGCTACACCTTTTATCATCACTAAGGGCAAGAAAGATAAGATTGAATGTGTTTCACGCATTTATGTTCTTGAAACAGAAGAGGCCTGGTTTGAAACAGAAAAAGCTGGACTGGTGCTGGGTAAAATAGCAGCCACACAAGCAGTTTTTAGGAAGTGGCTTGATTTCATGCTGCCACTTGTTTTGCGAGGTGGCCAAAGAGGTCTGCTAGTCTGGGATTTAACCAGCTCTCACTGTTCTAAAGACATGAAGAACTTCCTTGCAGAGAGAAAAACAGATCAAATAATGATTCCTGCAGGAATGACTGCCTATCTGCAGACTCTTGATATTGCAATAAACAAGCCATTCAAAGACCATTTGTGTATGGAAATTAACGACTACATTGAAAATAGAGTGACAAGAAATCAGCATAGAAACTTTGTGAAGCCTATCCTGCAAGAGGTTGTGACTTGAATAAAGAATTAATGGAATAAAATCACTGACAGTGTTGTTACCAGTGCACTCTGAGCAGGTTACATGGATAAGAGCTGCTCACTTAATGAGAGCTCTATTGCTCAGAATGAAAGATTAGGGCCAATGGTTCTAAAGGAAATGGAGTCACAAGAAATTTAGGATGGAATTCTGGGTCTGGAGAGTTATAACGATGTTCCAGAAGAAATGACTTAACTATATTTGAATAAATGTAGATTGTTGTATTATACTTAATAAAAATAAGACATCCCCTGAAAATAAGCCCCAGTGTGTCTTCTTGAGAAAAGATAAATGTAAGACAGTGTCTTATTTTGTGGGAAACATGGTACTTGGGAGGCTGAGACCAGTAGACATCTGAGGCCAGGAGTTCAAGGCTACAGTGCACCATGACTGCCCCTATGAATAGCCACTATATTGCAGCTTGAGCAACATAG